GTTACCGATAATAAAGTATAATTATACATATTTTAATTGAAATATTTATTTAAAAAATTTATCAAATATAATTTTGAATTTTTTTACTTCGCATGATACATGTTACATATATAATCATTTTGCACCTGTGCTAGGCCATTTTGTTAATAGTCCAAATGGTGCTTAATTGCCCTTCATTTCAATTACTTATTGATTACAATTTATAAATAGTATATTTAATATTCACATTTTATATTTTACATTGAGGTTGAAAGGATTAGACATAGAGAAGGACGTTGGCAGCTAGAGATTAGATTCATGAGCATGGTTAAAGTGTGCAATTAAAAAGAAATTAAATCTCATTTTTTATTACCAAGCACTGCTTCAATTAAATAATAATAAAGCGGAAAATTGCTGCCCCTCTCAGTCAGAAACAACAGCAGACAAGAAAGACAAAGAAAAGAATATATATATATCATATATATATAAGTGAGACAAACTAGTAAACGCGATTAAAAAATTTTGTATAGTTGTGTTTGGATATCCATTAAATAAAATTGATTATTAAAAATTACTTAATATGATTGAATTTTAAATACATATATTTAATGTTATGTAAAACTAATAAAATCCTCTAAATTCGAGGATCTCAAGATCAAAGCATTCATTGCATGCTAACTAGTTTTATAAGAATGCTATAGCTAGGGAAATATTATCATGCGTGTGTGATTGTGGGTGTTGTATGCTTGTGTGTAGTGTGTGCGTTTGCATGTGCGTGCCCCCTTTCCTTTATGACAGTTTAAAAAAAAGATAATATATGTTGATTAAAAATTAATGTACAAGTTCTTTATAGTTTTATGTGATTTTGAATAGGTTCTTTTAATTTATTTTGTTTTAATCAAGCTTTATAGTTTAATTGGTTAAATATGTTAGTTTTTAGCTGTTAAAATTCTTTAATTTTTTATTTTAAGAAAAGAAAGAAAAAATTAATCTTTTAGTCTCTAAAATTACAACTCACTTATAATTCAGTCATTGAAATATGATTCAGTGTAATTTAATTTTTAAATTTTTAACTTTTTTTATAACTCAATCCTTATCATCCACACCTCATCCAGAGTCATCATATGTGGCAAAACATGTCATGAATAAGCATCCGGGTCAACACCACATAAGACAATGCATCAGCATCGGTGAGGGAAAAAGAAGAAGAAGAAGCAACTTGGATTTTCAGCGGACATGAAAAGAGGATTGAAGAGGAGAGAAAATAAGGCCCTGGCGTCGATGAGAAGGAAATCAAAGAGAAGAGGAATCCTACGTTTCAAGCCAGATGTTTAAGAAAAGAAATTCTGACATACAGTTACTGAAAACAATCTCTACATTGTTGAATGGTAATGGAAATCAATTTTTTTTTTTTAACTGTAGGATGTACCTTATCAGCCACAAGAGACTACCCGGTTTCTTCAATTTGGCAAATGCAATTTTCAATTTCAATTACCATGCCTTGTGATTCCTAAATTGAAGAAGCCTCCTCCCAGCATCCATATCCTCATTCCCATTGAGAAGAAGAGAAGCAACTTTAGCCACCCATATCTTCATGACTTGGGCAAAGAGAAAAAAGAGAAGCAAGCAACTCATTCCAAAATAGGAAGGCGATAGTCGATAGAGAAGCAATTTTTAACAACCCATAACTTAACTAGAATGAGAGGCGAGCAATGAACTTCAAACATGCAATCAAAGGAAAAGCGAACCACGAATGGAGATCACGATCTTGATTTTCTTCTTCAATCCACAACACTGAAGCCTCTGCATCTGCTTCTTTGATTTCCTTCTGTATTCTCGTTATCTTCCTCTCTTCGATCCCCTCAAAGTCCTTAGTTCCCTTCTGCATTCTGCCGTTCTCTTCTCGCCTTTTTTTTTTTTTTTTTGTGTGGTGATTTTCTTTCTGCTGATTCATAATGTAATGTGGATGTTGATTTATTATTTTTTCCACATACAATGACTCAATGATGGCTCATAGCTAAATTATCTTTGATAAGGGCAAAAATATAAGTGGTGTAAATATTATGAAATTTTTTTAAATAAATCGGGTACATCACCTTATCTATGGTCTATCTAATTAAAACATGACACCTCATTTAATTTTAATCTTACCTAGCAGCCTACCTATCATTTACTTTATTTTATTTTATTTAAAATAATGATTCTAAAATCCAATTTGTATAAATTATCTTAATCAAAATTTTTCATGAAAGCCCTATTTCTTCTCTCTTCTTCGATTGAACCTTTTTTCTTCCCCAACTTTTTATCGATGAAGCTCTACCAGTGAATGAACTTGCTATTGATTAGTTTGGGAACTGACAGTGTGCATCACCTTCGATTATGCATGCCGCTTGCAGAGTTGAACAATTCGGATCTCTTCCTCTCCATCTTTTTCCTTTAATCATGGATTTTAACATATTGTATTATTTGTATACGTTTTAGGATAATTTAAAAAAAAGATATTAAAAGACATAAATTCTAGGTTGTTCATAGAAAAAGAGATAAATACAAGGTTGTCATGTTTGGCAACCAAGGAGGTTAGAAATGGCATTATATCTTAAATTGAGTTTAATTATCACCTAAGACTTTGCACACATGCTTTGATATCTTTTGTGTAAATAATTTCAGGTGCAAACAACAAATTAAAAGAAGATTAAATAGCCAAAAGATTAGATTATAAAAATAAACTACAAGGCAAGAAAATCTTAAAGTGACACGTGCAATAGTTGATTCAATGAGCTTCTAATAACTTTAAGTTGAAGAATTTTGACCAAGCAATCCTTAATCACCATTTGATAATCTTTTTAGAAGTGCTTAGTGAGTTCTAATTAAATTTGGAGCATCTGACAAGAGTTTTAAATGCAAAATGCTTGCTATTTGATGATAGAATGACTTAAAGTACTCTCACTATTACACCTTAATTTTTTAGAAAAGTTTTACATGACTAAAGCTTTTCAAGTGTTAAATATGATTAAGGCAAGAGTTAAAAATAGTTTCAATAATTGAATCACAAATTGGTGTAACTTTTAAGGTGGTTTGTGTTTTGGATTTTAAGTGATTATACCAAGTTTAAACACTAGCATCTAGTCTTTATAATAATTGAGACATCTTTACATATCAATTGAACAAAGCAATTGAATTCAAATTAAGGTGAGGAAGAATAAGGATAGAAATGGTAAAATCTAACCTTGAAAAGTTACCTTAACACTTAGTTGATTTCTACACATTTTCTTTTGTTTATGCATGTTAAAATTAAATATAAATATCTAAATTCTTTCTTAAACTCTCAACCTTTATTTGAAATTTTAATTTTTCTTGATCATTGTTTTGAAGTAGTTGCAAAATGCTTACTCTCTAAAGATAAAATAATCTAGGGTGCTTTTATTGCTATACTTTAGTTTCTTTGAAAAACTTGATATGATTTAGGGCTTTTCAAATTTCCTCTTACTAAACCTAAATCTCACGCAACTTCCTTCCCAAATAATTCCCAAAATGTTGTCACTAATTTAGACATGGATTTTTTTTTTTAAGAGTTAGTATTCTTCTGGAATTTGGGAGCGACTAAAGAATAAAAGGTTATGAGCTTGGGATCATCAGTAGTTGTGGTAATATTGGATGGGCAATCATCATCGCTATAGAGATGACGAGGGCAAATCTAAAGAAGTTGAGAAGGATTCTGTGATTGACAATAAGCCACCAATAAAGAAGAGAGGGTTGATGAAAAAAGATCAAAATAATTCATTCAAATTGAACTTCAGTTATTTTTCAAAAAAACAAACAAATAAAATAAATTTCAAGTAAGTGCCAACTTAGATAAAAATCTCATGAGGTGTCATGTTTTGATTGATTACACTACAAATGAGATGATACATTCAATCTATCTAAGAATTTCTCCCAAATATTAGTAATTGAGTTTTAAATGAGTTAAAAATTTAAAGACTAAATTATATCGAATCAAACTTGAGGGACTGGGTTTTAAATAAGTTTAATATAGGGAGACAAAAAGATTAATTTTCTCACAATGAAATTAAGGACCTTTATATGTTTATTAAAAGATTATATAATTTTAAAATAATTATGTAATTTTTATAATTGAAAATTTATATAATTATATTATGTTTTCTAAATAATTTTCATACATACAACATTTTCATAACAAATTAATAAAAATATAAATATTGTATTGAATTTTTTTGGGCTAAAAGTATTAAATCAGATTTTCTATGAATTTTAAAAATATTTTTATTTTAAAATAGTCAATCATTTACTCATAATTTTAATCTTCATGGATTAACATATTTAATCTCCTATTATAAGAACTTGATTAAAACAAAATAAACTACAATTAATTTAATTTAAAATTAAGTAAAACTAGGAAGATCTGTATATTAAATTTCCATTACATATAATAAAAGGTGTCAAAAGTTCAAAGAGCTCAACGAGTCCAAAGAGATTTAAAAAAACGAGATGGCAAAAAAATGAAAAATAAAAAATTAAAAAAAATAATAAAAATTCTTCTGAAATATATAAATAACAATTTAATCTCTTAAAATGCCATAATTCTCCTGAAGTTTTTAGAAATTTTTTCATCATTAATAAATTTATATAAATTATTAAATTGTCCTTATTAAAAATAAATGATTAACAACTTTTTTTTATATTTATAACAGTACAATAACAAATAAAAAATTTAACATGTAAAGTTATAATTTATTATTTTATTGTTGTGAATTTTAAAAAAAAATTACGAATACAAAAAAAAGTTATAAATCATTTATTTTCAATAAGAATAACCTTTTAATTTATATAAATTTATTAATAATAAAATTTTTAAAAATTTTAAAAAAGGTATGATTTTTGAAGAATTAAATTATTATTTATATATTTTATATTATCATTTTTTTTAAATTTGGCAAAAAAATAATTGAGGGAAAAAAACTTGGCCGACAAAGAATGGGGACAAAAATAATAGGATTTTGATTTTAGGGTTTTCCTCCTTCCTTAACATCGAGCGGCTCTGCGCTCAGGTTTTGGGAGGGAAACTCTCAAACATTTCAAGCGTATTACGAGAAACCCTTCCTTTTCAGAAGGTCAATTGATCTCTCAGGGATCAACACTATATTTTTGACTGGTATTTTCTTCTCTTTTTAACTATTTTTCAACATGAGTTTTTGTTTTTGGACAGCAACTTCTCTTTTTAATTATTTTGATTCTGAAACAAGCTCGACCTTGCTATATACTTGTTCTTTTACTTCGATTTTAGTCAGGGAGCTCACTTAGAAATGCTTTATCACGTTTCTGTTAACTTTCACATTTGCAACGTACTATATGTAGTTGATAGGGGAAATGAAATACAATTTGACTGATGCTTTTGGTTGCTGTTTTATGTTCTTCAAATTCCCTGCACTTGTTCACTTTACTCAGTCATCCTACTTTAAGCTCAACGCTGATAATAATTGGGAGTGTTGTGCAAAGAAAACATTGGCTTAACTATCTAATTGCTGATTTGCAGATTCATTTTTATTCTGTAAACACTTGAGAGAATATAATGAGTACTACAGTACAAAGAACTCCAAAATCCGGTAGGCAGTCCTTATTTTTCCAAGACTTGGCTTCACCTGTTTCTACTCGGAGAGGAAAATTTTCCAATCCAGGTCAGGCAGCTGCGGTATCTGCTCTACGGCGAGAGAACTTCGGTGGTTCAGACCTTCCGCCACCTCCTGTTTTCACCTTGGAAGACAGATCAGACTTTTCTCCTGAATCAGGCATACTGGATTATCAGACATCTCCAGAACCTAAGTCAGACCCTAGAACTCCCATTCATACTGCAAGTAGGGAATTTTCTACTCCAGTGAAAAGCAAATCAGAGGCCAGCACATCTTATGCTCTAAAAGGATTGCAGCAAAACCAACAGGGATCAACAAGTTTGAGTTGGTGGTCACCCACATCCGCGAAGAGTGGGGGTGAACAAGATGAAAAGGGAAAGAGTTCACCAGTGGAGGGTGTGGTTCAACCTGGTGCTTTGATCACCCTTCCTCCACCAAGAGAAGTTGCAAGGCCAGATATTCAGAGAAATTCCTTGCCTGCAGGAAATCTCAATGAGGAAGAATGGGTAACTGTTTATGGGTAAATGTCTTACCTCTTAATTCTTTACTTTTGTACCAAACGTTATCTATTGCTGCAAAGGTTTCTAAATTTTGCTGGAAAGTTCACTAGGATCTTCAATATGATAAATTGGCATCATTGATTCATCGTGAAAAGTTTTAATGATAAAATGAAAAGCCAAGTCAACAAGAATTACTGAGAGGTCAGTTGCATAATCAATCTTAAGATAAAAAAGCTGTAAACAAGCGTAGGACATTTTCTTTCTTGACGTTTTAATGAGAAAATTGCCTATCATTTCTTTGGAAGGCAGTGAATAAAATTTCCGACCATGTTGGTCTAATTTGAGGAATGTAATACTAGTCGAAATTTCTTTTATTAATATTTTTTAACATAATGCGTGCGCTATTATTACTTGAATCTTTTGCTTAATTTCTGAAATCAGGTTAGGCTGTATTGTAACATGACTATATCTTATTTTCTTGTACTCCTTTATGTCCATTGGAATTGAATGTGTGGAGCTGTTAGATGAGAGTTGAGATACTTATACCTGAGAGTGTAGCTACATTAATTTACTGTTTCCTGATATATCCTACAGTTTTAAATGAATAGTTTAGAAATGCCGAGACTGAGTGCAATACATGGTCCATGATCGAACCTTTTACCGTGAAGATGCAAATCAATAATACGAAAGATCTAATTTCCTTTTGAATATGCCAGTATGCAGGACTCTTCTAATAGTGTTCTTATTGTGCAGATTTTCTCCAGGTGATACCAACTTAGTCTTAAGGGAGTTTGAAAAATGTGGTGTAATTTTGAAACACATTCCTGGTCCTAGTGATGCTAACTGGATGCACATATTATATCAGGTTCCCCTTCCTTCCCTTGTTGAAACGTGTTGGATAGGATTTCCTTTCTACAGCATTAGTTGCAAGTAGTCATGTATCTATCAATACTAGAAATCAAGTACTAGTCACATTGCTTTTAAATCTTATTATGCATAAGATACGTTTACATATGGGATACGTCCTTGGAAATAAAATGAGATTTGAGAGCCCGGGAAGCACAATTAGGATATATATATATATTTTGCAAGACAATGTGATATTATTTATTATGTGCTTTCTATGAAAATGACACGGGGCAATTCCTGTGGACTCTTCTTTCCTCTCCCATGGTGAACTGACTTTTATCTTTTAAAATCAAGGATCCTGTTCTTGGATTTCCCTATTGATTTTGCCAAAGTTCCAATGTTGTTTAACTAGGACCTTCTTCTACTTTGAAGGCATTTTATGCAAGCCTGATTGTGCATTAAATTTTAAAAACAGTGCTTCCTTGATGTGTTATTGGGATGAAGCCTGAAGGTTAAATAGACCTGCATAGCATTATGTTGTAATTGCTGTGTGCACGTAGTTTTAACAACCACCAAAGTTAATTTTAGTTGTTGCTGATGCAGAATCGGTCTGATGCTCATAAAGCTCTCAACAAGAATGGAATGCAACTTAATGGTGTGCTAATAGTGGGCGTGAAGCCTTTGGATCCCATACAACGTGAGGCCTTAAATGAAAGGGTGAACAGGCAGGGATTTATGCCCATACCCCCACCACCTGCAAGAACTTCAGAAGTGAGCACGTTGACAGCTCCTTCTCGACCCTATTATCTTCAGAATGGCAGCTCAAGTACACGGCAGAGCGGAGGTGCAATTGCTTCCCCAACAAAATCATTGGTGTCCAAAATCATGGATTTGATGTTTGGAGTCTAAATTGCCTTTTCTTGGGAACCATACTAAATCATATGGAAATTTTTGTGAGCTGTATCTTTCGGCTAATTTGCGCATCATCAAGAGCACAGGCAAGTCTTGTTACTCACAGTTGAGTTGAAGATTTGGAATTCACTGAGAGCTTTTAGAACTTATAACTAAAGCATTATTTTCTCCTTTGATTTAAAAGCCCAAGCATTGATTTTCCATGCTTTTGTACTTGGAACAAAAATAGAAGATACATTTTCACACAAATGTTCAAATGGAGAATGTATCTCTATAAATATTTTGTAATAATACAGGGCATATGTTAAATTTGCATTTTCGCTGCCCTTATACTAGAATTCATTTTAGTGTTTTACTAATAACTATACGCTGATAAGCTAATGGAAGTTTGAGATAACTTGGGGATGCGTAATGTTCAATGCATGTGGAAGCCAGCGGCAAATGCAGGAACATGGCATGGCACAGAAATGAAAGGTGTTGAACATCAAATACTGCATGAATTAACTCTGCTTAAATTCCCTTCGTTTGAATGTATTTAGTTGAAACATTCAAAAGTAGATAACTGATTACTTTTAAACCAAAGGAAAACGGTTATAAACAACATGAAGTCTTGAACTAAAAATGAAACATTGATCTGAAAACAGCCGGTTATGTATTAACAACAACACGCGCAAAGCTGATGCTAAGGAGTGTCGCCGCAAGCGCTTCACAATCGCCAACGATGTAGACAGTGACAAAACCAACATGAAAGGAATAAAATCTGAACATCAATGCTACGTAAATTTCAAACATCTCAATACCAATTACCATCACTTGGATATATGAATTGAGTTGAAATCCTCAAGGGGACAGCATTAGTCCTTTTTTTTTAAAAAAAAAAATCATCTTTTATCAATCAACAAAGCTAGAAATGGTGCTTGTGTCGGACTTGATCCTCAGACATTTACTTTTGAATCACCATGAATTGCAGAAGGTCCACTTGATCATCATCTACATTCCCGAAGATTCCCCAGCTTCTTGCACATCTTTCATACCGGAAGAATTCCCTGCTCCTTCATCATCTTTCTTTGCCAGCTTCTTCAGCTTGTCTGAACCAGCAGTTTCTTGATCATCTTTCTTATTACCATAAGTAACAGCAGCTTCTCCAACACCTTTCATATCCAGAGGAGCACCGATTCCTTCATCTTCTTTTCTAATTATGCAAAACCCATGCTCATCTTCATCTTCTTTTCTAATTATACAAAACCCATGCTCATCTTCATCCTCTTCTCTAATTTCACAAAATTCTGAGGGCATTCTTAACGTGGCCTGGCTTTCTTTCTTAGGTCTGGGATGAGATTCATTATCTGGTTTTGTTCCAGTGGTCCTAGCTTCACGAATTCCTTGTTCTTGTACATGACGATTCTCTGGTAAATTCTCCAAACCTTTCCACAATGTAGGTATAACATCCCTCATCTTCTTCCAGTAACGAGGATTTATGTTCTTGATCATCGTTTCAACCCCCTGCATGTTGTACAGAACAGACCCAAGAACACCCTGAATCCTTATTCTTGCATCATTCACTAAACCCCTTTTCTCAGGCAAAACATCAAAGCTCATGATCCATTCCAAATCCATCACTGCCTGGTAGAAATGCGTGATCGCAGTATCATACGAGTCTTCCTTCCCGGCAGAAATCTTCGAAAACATGCTCTCTTTCAGCTTCATCTCTATCAGTGTATTTTCTGCCATCTCAATCAGATTCACAAACCTCTCAGCGACTCTACACTTCGTCATGGGCATGTTCTTTATACTCTCAATCCTGGATTTCAAGAGTCGAAGAAGTTCTTCGTTTGATGCCAAACAAAAGATGAACTGAACCATCAACTTGGAGACCAGCTTCGCGGTTCGAATTGTGCTGAGCCAAAGTTCATACACACGAGTCCATTCGAGCCCAAAATGCGCACGATAATCTTCAACTTGCAAATACTCCACCAGTGTCGTCTTCTTTGATTGGCTTATTTCAAGCTTGATTTGACTCATCAATGCCTTGGTGGTAGAGATAGTTTCGTCGAAGGCCCTTTTCTTCACGTGTGACCTCTTGATTGGATCCACGACGTCTTCGTCTTCGCCGGATGCGGCGCCGTCTGGGGTGGCGAGTTTTTTTAACAGTGTGACATATGTTGTGTCCATATCCCGTTTTACGTCCCTCTGAAGACATGAGAGAGCGTCGTTGCCGCTGGAAAACACAGAGAGCAAGGCGTCTTTGAATTCTTGGAGGAATCGGTCACTTCTTTGTCTCCATTGTTTCAGATCAGTCAACATGCGCTTGGAATCTTCATTTTCCCTCAGGAAAATGGCGTGTATCTCCATGTCCAACTCCTCCAGCTTCTTCTCAAGCTCTGAGATAGTCCTCATCGTTGCACAGAGAGAGAGAGATAGAGAGAGATAGAGAGAGAGAGAGAGAGAGAGATTTCAGGGGCAAATTTTGTGGAAAGAGAGAGAAGGAGAATGTATAAAAATGCGCAGAAAGAGAGAGGCGAGAGGCGGCTCCTTCCGTTATTTTCAGTTACGATGAATCACTGATTGAATCAGGTGCGCGCGTTCATGCTCATGGGTTCAACCCATGCTTCTTCAGCTAATTCAATAGTACAATGAAGGTTTTTTTTTTTTTTGGGCTTAACTGTTTATTTGGGTTACTTTTGAGGATTATGACGATTGAAGATCAGAAATTAATGTAAAATAAATACTTTTAAATTGTAAAGTCCTGAAATATTTTTTAGGGGTTCTTATTTACTCATTACTTTTATTTTAATTTAATCTAACTTCCTTTTTATTTTAATTTAATCTCTCTTACCTTTTTATTTAAAATTATATCATAATATATTAATGGAGACCGGAGAGTTTTTGTATTCCATTATTTCCATGAAGCCCATATTACTCTAGAGTGTTCACCATTTCTTAATGCAGCATTCTATATATTTATTTTGTGTGTATGCTCCTTTCATTTAAAAATATAATGTATTATTTGAAAAGTTAGATGTTAAAAAATATAAGATATTTTTTGTATTTTAAGGTGTAATTAATGTGTTTTTTTAAAGTGTCTATAATAAATACATCACTTTATATTATTTTAAAATGAAACCCTCTATTAAATAAAGGCAAATATAAAAAGATACTGTTAATTTAAAAATAATTAATTAATTTATTAGGATATAATTCAATTAATAAATATTTTAACTATATGTTAAGGATCATTTTGACACACGAAATTAATTAAATAAATAGATAGATATTGAACAAAATAAAAGTTAAAATCTTGAGAAGCCAACCACTTCAAGGCCAATATATGATTTATACCAACTATACCTTTGAAATAAAATTTTAGGAAATATAGAAAATATAAAATCATATTAGAGCAATGAAGCTTCACTTCATCTCTTTGACAAAAATAAAGAATAAATAATAAAGAAATGTTAAAAAAATCTATATATTTTATATGAGGTCCTTGATCTTCAAACAACCATCATTACTTTCTACCCTCTTCATGTACTCAAATTCAATAATTTACCGATGATTCCAAAAATTGCATCAGCTTTGGTTAACATATTCACGAAACTTAATATCAAGTTTTTTTTTTTTTTTTTTTAAAGGAGGGCCAACGAATTCGTCACTATTACCCTCCAAGTGAGGGTAACTGCCGAGAATATAACTACCACCATTACAAAACTACCCGTAACTGCCACGTCCCACCACGTCTTCACTCACAAACACAAATTCGGACACTCCAACGTGCATCTCTTGCCTGTAACTAGCTAGCCCATGTCCTTATATACACACGCACACGCACACTCTTGCCTCTCAAGTTTGAACCTCTACATTCCTCGCTTTCACATTACCAACATATATGGCTTCCCATGTGAGTTTTCTCTGTACTCTCACGGTCATCATCTTCTTGGCTTCCTCCATGAATGGTTCAGTCGAAGCTTCAACGCAATTCAAAGTTGGTGACGCCTTCGGCTGGCGACAACCTCCCCCTAACAACTCAGCATTTTACATCCAGTGGGCTTCGATGATCCGTTTTCATGTTTCAGATTCTCTGGGTGAGTTTCACTGTCCTTTATCTCCAAGCAAATATATATCATGAACTAAAACACATACACTCAATGCACAGTCTTCAGCAGAAACTATACTGAAACTGTACTGATACTTCTTCAAAAGTGGAACCTATTCATATGTTTTGTTTTGTTTCTTTCTTTGTTTTTTTTTTTGGTGCCAAATATTTTTTGTTTTGTTTTGTTTGGTGCAGTTTTTGAGTACAAGAATGACTCAGTGGTGAGTGTGGACAAATGGGATTACTATCACTGTGACGCGAGTGATCCAATCACTATGTTCAACAATGGGAATAGCAGTATCAATCTGGACCAGCCTGGTTCCTTCTACTTCATCAGTGGGCTGTATGATCATTGCAGCAACGGCCAGAAACTGATGGTCCAAGTCATATCTCCCATGTCTGTTTCTGCTCCTTCACCTTCTCATCGTCATCATAACTCAGGGACTTCACTCTCATTGCACGTTCTCACCACTTGTTTTAACTTCATGATGTTGATTGCTTTAGGCGTCTCTTCTGTCTAGGAATTATCAGTTTATGAACGAACTATAGTTTATTAACTAACTTCCCTTGTTTTAGATCATTTAATTATTATCGTCGTCTTCTGATTCTTGTGCTGCATTACTTTTATGACCATGGCGTTGATTTTTCTTTCCTAGACGTAATTTTACTTTCTGATATCAAGTATTTACTCAGCATATATAAATATGTGTTTGTCTATATGTATAGGTATATGTATATGTATCTCTTAGAGCATTCAGCTTTCAAAAATTCTGCTTCTAATGCCAGAATTTGATGGAGACATGGTTATATATAAACAAAGTTTAAATTTCTCATTCATGGTTATGTAAGTTACAGGAAATTAACATACTCAAGTAGACCAAATATTCCTATCATAAAAAAAGGACGGATAAAATAAAAATCTTTAGCGTTTCTTCAGTTTTCTCATCTGAATTGGTCCCACAGTACTATAAGATTCCACGACGTTAGTTGATTACCAATTTCAACGTAGAATCATACGAAACTTCGTGGATTAAAATCTGAGAAAGATGTTGAGCGCTTGGCCTTAAAAAAGAAGAAAGAAAGAAAGATGGTGAGGGAATAAAAATAACATATTTTTGGGCGTCACATAGATTCAGTTATGATCTTGCTTGGCAATTAACAAGAAAGCGTATAAATTACTCCATATATATAAAGAATCTAGATCCTCTATATTCATAATATA